GCTGAAATGATATTAATACTGTTTGCATCTATTGGGGTAGCACAAGTACTCCTCTTCTTATGGAGAATAAAACACAGGAAATCCTACCAGGTAGACACAGTATACATGTACATGTAATAATATACTAATAATATACTAACAATATACTAATAATATACTAATGATATACAGTAATATACTAATAATATACTAATAATGTACATTTATGTATTGGTTATAATAAGGTATAAATGACATATAATAATAGTTAGTATATAAATGTATATTTTATACAAGTTAGCTAGTTCCTCCATAATTATTACTTATACTGTATTTCAGCAGCATCAGATGTGGTCCTATAGTATATAACATTGATGATTTTAATTTCTCTCCTCCTCCTTTCTCTCTTAGGCCATTACCTTATTAGGCATGTGGATAATTCCATTTTATTTGTGTGTTCGGTTGAGTTTCTGGAGGATGATCATCGTATGGTCAATATTCTCTGTTATAACATTATTTGTAATGTTTAAAGCTACTAGGAAGAAGCTTCATGTCAATACTCCAAGGTTAGTTTAATTATGACAATTTCTGTAAAAATCCCTGTACTATAGCCCATGGTTTTTTCCAAAAAATGGCTCCGAAATCACCCCCAATTTTTATTACATTTTCTGATACATATTGATGTCCTTATGCTGTGTAGAAAATTTGAGCCGATTCTGACTTCAATTTTTTAAGTTACGGCCATTTTAAGAAATGGGCAAAAATCTGAAAAAATCCCCAAGGCTATAGCCCATGGTTTTTTCCAAAAAATGGCTCCGAAATCACCCCCAATTTTTATTACATTTTCTGATACATATTGATGTCCTTATGCTGTGTAGAAAGTTTGAGCTAATTCCGACTTCAATTTTTCAAGTTATGGCCATTTTAAAAAAATGGGCCAAAATCTGAAAAAATCCCTGTACTATATAGCCCATGGTTTTTTCCAAAAAATGGCTCCGAAATCACTCCTAATTTTTATTACATTTTCTGATACATATTGATGTTCTTATGCTCTATAGAAAGTTTGAGCCAATTCCGACTTCAATTTTTAAAGTTACAGCCATTTTAAAAAATTGGCCAAAATTTGAAAAAATCCCTGTACTATAGCCCATGGTTTTTTCAAAAAATGGCTCTGAAATTACCCCCAATTTTTATTACATTTTTGATACATATTAATGTCCTTATGCTGTGTAGAAAGTTTGAGCCGATTCCAACTTCAGTTTTTCAAGTTACGGC